ACACTTAAGACAAAGCCACTGTGTCGCTGAGCCTCTAGGTGTTGATGCTGCACTACCTGAGCTCACCAGGCTCAGGAAAATTACTCTTCAGCAGCTGCACCAATGTCTGTCTCTGCTGGACCAAGGGGACACTTTCCAACAGTATGGATCCTGCTAAAATTGAGTGTAGGATAAAGAAAAATGTAGCGACCATAGAGGTATTTCTCGAAGCAAAGTATGAAAAGCTTTTGAGCCTCATCAGACTGCAGATTCTAAACACATCCACTCTGAATCCTGTATCACAAGATTATAGTATACAAATTGACAGGAGGGTCCCGACCCCAAACGCCAACTTTACTGTCCCTCTGATGCTGCCTGGCCTTCTGTACTCCCCCAGCTCCACAGTGTTATCACTCTGAATCCTGCGTGCTTACAGAACTGGGCCAATTACATTCAAAATCACCTCAACCCAGCAGCTGCAAAAAAAAAAAGTGACGTACAAAGAAGACCACCATAGAGTGTCTTTTATCACTTTTCCCCTCAGCATTTGATCACGTGAGCAGCGGCAGTCTATTGAAGCTTCTAAATAGACTGTGAATCTACCTTATAAGATCTCCTTCCAGTGACATAATGGGTAAGGTCAGCAACATCAGAAAGCTTTCAGATGAAAAAAGTTAAAAAACATGATTGTATTCTGGCATTGAAACGCTTTAGCACAGTTTTTCCTTTCTATTGTCATGTCCTTTCAGATCATCCATAGAAGATGGTGAGTTGCAATCCAGAACTGACGGCTGTTCAGCCTTCTCCACCCGAGATTTAAAAACAAAAATCCCCAAATTGACTTCATGTTTATCAAAGCTCTTTTAATACCATATTCAGCTGTTGCTGCCTTGATATTCAAGAAGCCACGATCTCCCTGTAGCTAGAATTCAACTTGAATAAATGTTTGAACCAAAACTGTTAAGAGGAAGGGTCACCGGATCTAAAACGTTAACTCTAATTTCTTTTTCTTCACAGATGCTGCCAGACCTGCTGAGCTTTTCCAGCGACTTCTGTTTTTGTTACTGATAATACAGCATACACAGTTCTTTTGGTTTTTATTATAAGGTCAGGAACCTCAGTCTGGGGGGCAAAATCTAAACTGAACATACATCAGTAATTTATTGCAAAGTAACACTTGAAATCACTGTTAATGACACCTTCCATCTTTTTAGTAATGATTGATAATAGACTAACAGTGATAATTGGATGTTTTGCTTTGGACAAAAGTTTATATCTGGGTCTGTCTTGAAACTTGAAACGTTGTTGGAACTTGGCAGATGCTACTGCTAGTTCAGGAACACATCAGCACTGCAGCCAGGATATTGCTGGTCCCTGTGGCCTCTGATGTATCCAGTACACTTACCAACGTCTTCCTGCCCTACAGCATTAAGTGAATTGACTGGAAAACAGCTTATGATGGTAGGGAACTCAGGAGGAACCCAAGATCAATTGCCAACCTAGCATTTTTGCATGACGATTGCAAACATTTGAACCTTGACTTATACATAGAATCATACAGCATGGAAACAGACCCTTTGCTTCAACTTGTCCTTGCCAAGTTTCCGAAACTAAACTAGTTCTGCTTGCCTGTATTTGACCCATACCTGTCTAAATCTTTCAGAAACATGTCTAAATGTTTTTATTAAATGTAACTGTACCTGCATCTACCACTTCCTTTGACAGTTCATCCCACATACAAACCACCCTCTGAAAAAGATCCTCGGGTCCCTTTTAAATCTTTCCCCTCTCTCCTTAAAAATGTGCAGCCTAGTTTTGAACTCGCACACACTCTAGGGGAAAAAAACTTTGCTATTCCCCTCATGATTTTATAAGTGCCTATAAGGTCACCCCTCAACCTCCAACACTCCAGTGAAACAAATCCCAGCCTATCCAGCCTCTCCCTGTAACTCAAACCCTCCATTCCAGGCAACATACTGATAAATCTTTCTGAACCAATTTAATAATATCCTTCCTATAGCAAGCCAACCAGAAGACAATACTGTTGCAAGCAGAGGAGATTTTAGGAACACAAGTACAAAGTTAAGTGAGGGCTGACTATATGGCTGGTGCTGCTCCTTCACGCTGCTGATTGAACCAGAGCTACTTCCTTAACTTGATAGTAATAACATGGAGGAATATGACAGGCCTTGGCAGTGGCAATAAACTGATTATGATGGGCCACGATGCCTCATATTCCAATTCATAGTAGTTATACCACACAACACAACCGATTGAGTCTTCCTTTGGACATAATCTCCAAAGCCTGTAAGGTGATCACTCCCATTACACTGATTTGGTTTATTATTGTCACAGGTACTGAGATGTAATGTAAGGTATTGTTTTGCATGTTAACCAGGCAAATCAGACCTTACATGAATACATCAGGGACATAAGTACTTTAATATATAGTACACTGCTGTGGATATGCAATGACAGTTGGATTGGTGAGGATCATGTAGGTTTTTCCCTCATGTTGGTTCTCACCATCTTCCTCAAGCTCAGCCCATCAACAATGTCCTTTCCAACTCAGCGTCAGTACTGATGCGACAAAAGCCCTCTGATGATGGGTAATGATGTGTGCCACCCAGAGTAGATTCTGGCCTCATACCTTAGTGAACCCCATCCACCAAGTAAAATTCAACACGGTGGTTTACCAACTGAGGAGTAAAAGATGGAAAATAGCAGGAAATATCCTTGCTCATGTCTGTTCTGATGCCATGGAACCAATACTGAGGATTCAGAGGGTACTCTATGCTGACACAATTGGACCTGCCTGATAACAGCTGAGGTTATGGAAGGTTCTGGAATATGGGTTGATTCTTTCCTAACGATTACTGCTTACTGTTCTGTGGAACAGCCATCTCAGATGTTTTATCGGGATCAAGTGGGATGGGTGTGACAGTGAATTTTTTGAATCTAATGCTTAAGTCAATGAGAATGTTTTGGTTTCTTATTTTAGAAAAATGTTCCTTAACTTGACATGGGTGTTTTGGCCAAATCAGCATTTGTTGCCCATCACTAATTGCTCGGGAATGTGATGCTGTTCAATTTTATAGCTTTTAATAGAAACTGAAACAGCTGAGTGAATTCTAACTGATCTTAAAAATAGGTAAGTGCCAGGCCATCACCATCGCCAACAAGAGAAGAATCTAACCATCTGCCCTAAACACTAAGTGGTATTATCATGGCCAGAATCCCTCAGTGTCAACATGTGAGGGAGCTTAATCATCGATCAGAAATTGAAGTGGACTAGCCATATAAGTATTGTGGCTCCAACAGCAAGTCAGAGGCTAGGAGTTTAGAGTTGAGTAACTGACTTCATGACTGTGCAAAGCCTGTCCAAACATAGAAGACACAGATCCTGATAATAACAGAAAACTCTCCATTTAGTTGGATTAGTGGAGTTCCACAAACATGCAAAAAGCTTGGCACTATTTAGGACAAAACAGACCACCTAATTTGATGGTGGATGGGGTATTTATGTGCACAGTGGCAGAGTGTACCATCTACAAGGTACACAGAAGCAACTCAGCAACTCTTTGACTGCACCTTCCAGATCTTACCATGTGCAAGACAAGTACATAGGGGAGCACCATCAGCTACAAGCTATTCTCTTCAACCCTCTTATCATTGTCACTGCTTCAAAATCCTGGAACGCATCCTAACAGTCTGGGTGTACCCATCTCACATGGACTGCAGCATTTGACCGAGACACCTACCACATCCTTCTCCAGGGCAATTAGAGATGGGCAATAAATGCAATGAAGGGCAAAAAGTAAAGAGAAAGTTGTCAACCATACAGTCATATGTCTAAACTCTCACAAAAGGAGGATGATTGATTTCCTTTTCTAAAGGACTTTGGGTACTTAATTGTTCATTACATCAGTTTCAATTCTCTTCCAATGTCTCTTTAGATTTCTCTTGTACATGGCAGATCTACTGAACAGCAGTCTGTACATACTTAAATTTCCAGCACTATCTCCATCATCCCTTTGTTATTCAACTTCAGGAATCTATCAACTTCATCTTAAACAATGACTGAGCTTCGCCAACCTTCTGGGGTGCAGAATTTGTAAGATTCATAACGCTGATTCAAGAAATTCCTTATCTCAGTCTTAAATGGCTCGCCCCTTATCGTGAGATCATGCCCACCAGGCAGAGGGAATATCTTATCTGTATCACCCTCTCATACTACAAACTTTACATGATTCAATTAAGTCATCCCTCATTCTACGAAACTCAGAACATCGACCCAGTCTCAAGGCAATTCTGAAGGAGTCGTCATATTGGACTTGGGACGTTGTTTCTCTATGCACAGACGCTGCTAGACTGAGCAAATTTCCCCAATACTTTTTTTTAATCTTTCTCGAGTCTGCAGTTTTTGCTTTCAATTCCTCAAAAGACAATAGTGCCATCTCGAGGACTAACCTGTTGTATGCCTCTCATAGCAAGTATGTCATTTCTTAGATAAAGGGGATTAAAACCGTACACAATACTCTGAGATTTCAGCAAGGCCCTAACCAACTATAGAAAGACCTTAACAATGATGGTCAACATTCAGTTTGCTTTTCCATCAGTAGTACTGAAGAAAGCCCATGTTATCTCATTTTGAGTTATGTACCATGATACAATATCCCGATTATAAGTTTTAATTCACTACAATAAAGTAAATTAACAGAAAGGGAAGATTACTTTGCAGAGAGTGTATTAACACACATTATCTCAAATTTACAACTTCTTGATGCCTTTTAAACAACAATGCTCTATTTGACAGTATAGTGAAATCATTTACAATATATAAAAATGGGAGTAACACGCTGTAAGAAATCAAATATGTTTATTGTGTTTTAATAGCACTACCTTTCAAGATTGTATTTGAAATCAAGACTACCCATTTGTAATAAATGATTTCTACATTTTCCCGAATAACTGAAGATCATGATCAAAAGCTGTTTCATGAAAGAAGACAGCTGACAGAAGTATTAATTTTGCTGCAATAGTTAGTCAAAATACCTTCTTTGGTATCAATGAGAAATATGAAGCTTGATTCCCAGTCAGGACTAGCCCTGTTAATTACATTACTTGATAATGACTAACCGCCAGGCTGGAATCTTAAAAGCTAAGGTCTCTGTTCTCATACATCTGTTGTATGGATGTGTAGGTGCTAAATGAAGGATCAGGTTTGATTATGGATATAGTCAAGTAGTGTACATTAGTAAAACTTATTGAATTAAAAAGTAACTGATGTTTTTGTGCAGCTCATGGTAGGTTGAGGGGATTGGTGGTTGCAGAGGAAGACTTAATAGAACAGTTGTATTTGGTACTCTCCTAACAATAAACTTGTTGCTGCAGAGTTGACCCTCGATAAATCAGAATGACACTCCCTTCGGTCCTTGATTGATTGACACATTGGTTGCTTGCTGTTCGACTACTTTAACAGAATTAAGAGAAGGAAATAGATTATGGTTCTTACCGATAATCATGAGCTTATTAGAGGTCTGCACCTGTGGAAATCAAGTCTAAAGAATCTTAGCTGTCCACAGTCCTGGACTGTCAACACTAAGAATATTAAGGACAATCCATTTGGTCTGTGCTTGCAGAATTTTACCATAACAAGCATCAATGCCTTCAAGAGGCAACAAAAAAATGTGGAAATTAAAAAAAGATCAGAATTAGAAGAAAATTACACTTTATCTTCCTCCCTAATTTTTTCAATAGGCCAGATGAGTTTGCAGTACCTATATCCATCACCAGAGGGTAAAAATTTGTTTACATTTTTGGTATTGGTAGAAACCTGTTGCCTCACGCTGCAAGACAGGGTCAGCATAGCGAGTAACCACAATCTATTTCAAGTAGAGAAATCCACTAAGCAAGCTCAGAGACACCAAAGGGAATATCTTCCAGCTTACGGAGAAATTGCTGAAGAAACTCAGCAGATCTGGCTGTGTCTGTGAAGAGAAAGCAGAGTCAAGATTTCAGAACCAGTAACCCTTGGAGAAGGGTAGGCAGAGGGAAAGGTAGGACATTTTTTCCCTTGTTTATCTGATGAACTTGGATCAAGATTTCTATACACTTAGTATAACTAGCAAATATTTCAACTGCTTGGATGTTGTTCAAATGGCAAATATGAAGTCAAACACCAACTTGAAAACATGTAAACGTAATCACACCTTAAATCCTACACAAATGAAATTACTCAAAGAGCCTCCTTATAGTTTTGGTTCCAGCAGAAGGCTCTACGTCACTAATTTAAGATATAACAGAGGGTTTACGAACAAAAACAAATTTAGAACCCATTGTTAGAAAACAACACAAATATATTGTTCTCAAACTTGACAGCTCAGATACTTAGTTCATGATATGGATATGAACTGTGATATTAATCTTTGCCAACTAAGAATGCAATGTCCTGTATTCAAACTATGATCTGTTCAAAGCTAACCAGTCTTTACCTGGAATTAACTGACAAAGATACAGATCCTGTTTTTGATGTCTGAATTTCTGTGGAACATATACATTAGGTTCAGTTAGGAAGACCAATTTCACACAAGACAAATAAACAATGGTGTCAACATTTATGGAACTGAATGAAAAGGGAAGTAGGACCCCTTCCTGACAAACTCGCCCTCAACTCCAAAGGAAGCTCAAGTTAAAAATGTCAAAATTGGAATTCAAACTGCAGCCACAGATGTAAAATTAACACCCTTGCTGTGAAGTAATGAATACTCTTTTTTGTAGAAGAAGTGTCCTGTAAATTATGATGTTTTCTGAAGATAACAAATATTTCCCATCATACAAAGTGATGTTTAGTTTTAGTTCAACTTGAATTTTTTTTAAATTAGGACTCAATCACAAATTAGTATTCTGGAGGAATGTTACAGACTTTGCTTGATTTATGTGAATCTGTGTGCCATTTCAAAACTTTTTTTGGAAGAGCAGGGAGGAGAAATTAAATGACTTGAGTAAAGGCCAAACACAAACCAAGGAAAAAAAAAACACTGAAAATCATGATACAATTTTTGTAAAAAGTTTTATTTTGCTTTTCTTGTTACAGTGTGTGCTTATTTTAGGGTATTTTTAGTCTTTTTTTAAAAAATCACAAGGTGCAATCATTGCCACAAAGGAGGCATTCGATTCCACTGTCCAGGACGAGTTGGATGTTACAAGTCAGGTTGTAGAGGGTACAATAATCCATGAATTCTTGTGGTATTTATGATTGCTGTTTGAAATATTTCACAGTTGCACAAAAACCCCGTCATCAGGCATGGGGAGGGAGGGTCCAGTTTAAATCACTTCCTGAGCTGTCATCTGAGTCGCAGTTACAATCTTTTTATTCATACCTCTGGGCCTTATCAATCCTCCCCGGCCTGCAAAATAAGACCAAAAATAAGTATAAATTACCTCATGGCTACCTCCCATTAAGTACTGAATAAGAAAGCGTAAAAGCTTCTGAGTGGGGTATAACTCACCCAATAAAAGTAGTAAAACAAAATTTGGAAAATATGTAATCTACCAGAGGTTGGTGCAAGGACTGCTCTGTTATTACCCTACAACCCACCTAGGGTTTACGAAGTTTAGACTTCATTTAAGATTTTTTCTTAAAAATAACTATCAGCTTGCACACTCCACATTCCAGACTCTGAACCACATTATGCTTCACTTATCCAAAAATCAATTTCTTCGATGGTGCCATTGACTACTGGCTCCAACTTCTAGACTGTGCGCATTTCCTGTAAGTTTGTGAAGCACCTGGTGTCATTTTACCACATTTCACGAACAAGTATTTAAGATTATTCTACAAAATAAACCACAAAATCAAGTGTAACAATAAAATGTTCTTGACAGTGATGAGAGAATCCCAAAGACAGTGGTTCCTGCCAAGCTGTGACTTAAATCCTGCTCACTAAAAACCTGCTGTTAAGTCTTGAGATCACCCATGAGCCATCCTGACTAACAGAAACAACAATTAAGTCAAAACCTGCAGATTATAACTCATCTTTGAACCAACATTCATGTACTATATTTTATGAATGAAAAGCTAAATCAAATCCAATTGAAAGTACCTCAAGTGCGGGGTTAAGCAGAATTTTCAGTTGGCAGTATAACCAACAATGCAACAAGATGGAAATATACTGCATCATTCCCTCAATTAAGTCACCAAATAAAATATTTTACTTTATTAGATGCTCAAAACAAGATCAAAACTGAATGCAACGTCTTCATGCTGCAACTGTATTTTCCGAATACTTTTGACAATTAATGGTTGAGGTGCTTCTGTTTAAGTTCTGTTAAAACAAATCTTCAACTTGCAGCAAACGAGTAGCTACAGTAAGAGAGACCAATTCAATCCAGGTATATGTTCAAATCAGTAAAATCCATGATTGTATAAATATTCCAATCCATGTTCTCAGTTTTCAATTAGGTGATCCATTGATCTTATTCAAAGTCAGGGAGAAAACAGGTTAAAACAATGCTTTCAATGTCCCTCTCTGCATTTCAATAAACTGTGCAAGCAAACTCACTCATTAATAGCATCAATATTAATTGCTTTTTCTAAAGAATAGCCGTTGTCTTGAAGGGGCTTAAACATTGATATTCTTGCCTTTTAAAGATGGAATAATGGAAGTTCTAAAGTTAACAGTCCTAGAACAATAAACTCTACCCTGTATCCAGAGAACTGTCTAAAAGAAAACCAGCTTGGCATGAACCAGCTACAAAAAAAAGGGTACAGATGCACAATCCTATATGCTTAATCAAACCGAGTGGATTACTAGCCCATTTCAGAGGGCATTTGAGTCAATCATCGAGTCAGGAATTAGATGCAAGTTATATTAGATCAGATTAGATGTAGACCAGGTAAGGACAGTAGATATCCTTCCCTAAAGGATCAGTGAACTAAATGGGTTTTTATGACAATCGATTGTGGTTACGTGATCACCATTATATTAGCTTTTTTATTCTAGATTTTTACTGAATTTCATGTATTTCACCATTTACCTTGGTGTGATTTGAACTCATATCCACAGAACATTACCCTGGGTTCTGGACTACTGAACCAGTCCCAGTAATATGCCAGAATCTTCTCATGAGATACAAGTTGATGCATGGATTGCATAATATTAAGCCAACGGGACCCAACAAAGTCTGCTGCTTTGCAGCGAAGGCACATTCTTCACAGGAGCTAAAGGCATATCAAATAGGGTTACTACCCTTTGGGACAAACATGCCGTGTCTTCAGTAATATTTTCAACTCCAAACAAAAGCAGCTCATTTACGTCATACAACATGTGGAAAGAAAGGATGCCCAAATTACATTAAAAGCCAAGGAGATATATGGCATCAATGTGATTTAAGGAAAACAAAGGTTGAAAACAATCATGCAGACATTGTATACAAGGATGTGATTACTAAGGCTCTTGTGGTGCAATGGTAGTGTCCTGACCTCAGGGCCAGGAGTTCTGGGTTCAAGCCCCTCCTGCTCCAGGGGTGTGTAACATCTCTTAAAGGTTGATTAGAAAACATCTGTAAGAATGTGATTATTACAGATGGAAAATATGTGTGTTGGTTCTCTGTGGAAATGTATGCACAAGGACATTTACAAAATTAACTGTTCCAGTCCTTTAAGTACAGGGGCACATACAAGTGCATTCACATCTTGCTTCTAATAGCAAAGCACAATGGTGGAACTGGAGATCGAGAACAAATGTAGATGTCTCAGATTTAAATAATTCCTTTAGATTATTTACTGCCATAGGCAGTAAGTGATTCTGAATGGCAAACTGGTGCAGGCAACAAAATCTTCAGATACATCCATTGATATTTACTTCCAGAAGAGGCACACACTTCATATTGAAACATTACAAAATATTTAAAGTTGAATTTCCAACTTGGATATATAGAAATTGGAAATTTGAAGCTTGAATCAACCAGTCACGTGTTAAGGCAACAATGTAATTTTCGACCATCATTTGTTTTTGTTCCTGATTCACAGCATCCTCAGTTCTTTTGGTTTTTATAATTATGTTAACTAGTGCTCACAAAAGTAATCTGGGTTTGAATAAGCACTGTGTTAATGCATCTCAGTGTTACATATCACAATTGTTAGAATCCAATTGTTCTACTCACATTTAAAATAGCATAATTTCTCCCTTATTGGCGTAACATGCATCTCGAGGCTTTCCCAATCATTGAATGTTCCCAAATTCAATTCAGTTTGAAAGATTTTCCTCAATCACAATAGCAATTAATTTTAATTAAGACAGCTTTTATGATTATGAGCTTGAACTTCTTTTAAAAACTATTTCTATACAAAAACATGAACTTATGTATACAAAACACAAACTAGACCTTACATATGGTATAGTAAGGCAAGGGAACTGTGCAGTCCAGGGTCACAGGAATATGTAAAGTACAGGACAACTTAATCAGGCAACATAAATGCCTGTGATAGCTGACAATCCAACAGTTTTTCTTTCAAGAACAAATGACTAAAGTAGTTACACCATTATTACATTATTGAGGAACAACTCTCAATTCTCTGCTCCAAGTTATTTCAGCAAAGCAGTTATTCACATCAAGTCAGTTTAAATAACCAAAGACTTGTGCATTTCATAAAACATCAATTGTGGCAGGCAAGTCATTCAATACCCATGGTGATCAACTTGTTGCAAGACCTGGAGGGCAGTTTTGGAAAGGGGAGAAGATCAAAAAAAAGTCTTTGTTCTCTCATAACAAAACAAAAAGTACTGCATTATAAGTTTTAATACAGGTGTGGACCCGGATTTATTCTTCTCTGCTGAGACTGACTTCATGCTGTAGTAAAAGAAAAAACTTGGAACTACATGCATTAAAAGCTGACGTGAACGATAACCTAACCTTTTGCTTTACTGTTCGCTATTCAATATGTCTATTCAGACACAAGTGACTTCCATGCAGAAAAATAAGAATCATGCTTTTGTATTAGGTTTACATTGATGTAACAATTAAACTGCGCAATGACAGATGTATTTCACCCTAT